CCAGGTGCGTCCCCCCCAGGTGCCCCCCTCACCTGGGCGATGTCATCCTTGTAGATGCCCCTCTTGAGGCGCACCCAGGCCTTGGGTTTGAGGTTGGTGACCTCCTTGACCACCTTGAGCACGTCGGTCATCTCCTTGATGGGCACCATCTGCTGGTTCCAGTAGCCCAGGCGCAGGTTGCCCACGCCCTCGATGGCCTGCTTCACGTGGGTCTGCTTGTAGGCCTCCACGTACAGGTACCCCCTGACGTGCTCGGGGGCCACCACCGACTTGATCTGCAGCGGCTGGGGACACGGGGACACGGGGTGTGACACCGGTGTGACATTGGGGACAGCCCAGTACAGCCCAGTACAGCCCCGTGCAGCCCCGGTGTACCCCTGTACAGGTGTGACCCCGGCGTCCCCATGTACAGGTACCCCCTGACGTGCTCGGGGGCCACCACCGACTTGATCTGCAGCGGCTGGGGACAGGGGGACACGGGGTGTGACACCGGTGTGACATTGGGGACAGCCCAGTACAGCCCAGTACAGCCCCGTGCAGCCCCGGTGTACCCCTGTACAGGTGTGACCCCGGTGTCCCCATGTACAGGTACCCCCTGACGTGCTCGGGGGCCACCACCGACTTGATCTGCAGCGGCTGGGGACAGGGGACACCGGGTGTGACACTGGTGTGACACTGGGGACAGCCCAGTACAGCCCAGTGCAGCCCAGTATAGCTGTGGTGACCCCTGTACAGGTGTGACCCCATTGTCCCCATGTACAGGTACCCCCTGACTGGTGACCCCTGTACAGGTGTGACCCCATTGTCCCCACCCAGGGTTTGGGCCCCTGCACACCCCAAACTGACAGGGAATAACCCAAAACTGCCTGGAGAACCCAAACTGACAGGGAATAACCCCAAAACAGCCCCTGCACACCCCAAACTGACAGGGAATAACCCAAAACTGCCTGGAGAACCCAAACTGACAGGGAATAACCCCAAAACAGCCCCTGCACACCCCAAACTGACAGGGAATAACCCAAAACTGCCTGGAGAACCCAAACTGACAGGGAATAACCCCAAAACAGCCCCTGCACACCCCAAACTGACAGGGAATAACCCAAAACTGCCTGGAGAACCCAAACTGACAGGGAATAACCCCAAAACAGCCCCTGCACACCCCAAACTGACAGGGAATAACCCAAAACTGCCTGGAGAACCCAAACTGACAGGGAATAACCCCAAAACAGCCCCTGCACACCCCAAACTGACAGGGAATAACCCAAAACTGCCTGGAGAACCCAAACTGACAGGGAATAACCCCAAAACAGCCCCTGCACACCCCAAACTGACAGGGAATAACCCAAAACTGCCTGGAGAACCCAAACTGACAGGGAATAACCCCAAAACAGCCCCTGCACACCCCAAACTGACAGGGAATAACCCAAAACTGCCTGGAGAACCCAAACTGACAGGGAATAACCCCAAAACAGCCCCTGCACACCCCAAACTGACAGGGAATAACCCCAAAACAGCCCCTGCACACCCCAAACTGACAGGGAATAACCCCAAAACAGCCCCTGCACACCCCAAACTGACAGGGAATAACCCCAAAACAGCCCCTGCACACCCCAAACTGACAGGGAATAACCCCAAAACAGCCCCTGCACACCCCAAACTGACAGGGAATAACCCCAAAACAGCCCCTGCACACCCCAAACTGACAGGGAATAACCCCAAAACAGCCCCTGCACACCCCAAACTGACAGGGAATAACCCCAAAACAGCCCCTGCACACCCCAAACTGACAGGGAATAACCCCAAAACAGCCCCTGCACACCCCAAACTGACAGGGAATAACCCCAAAACAGCCCCTGCACACCCCAAACTGACAGGGAATAACCCCAAAACAGCCCCTGCACACCCCAAACTGACAGGGAATAACCCCAAAACAGCCCCTGCACACCCCAAACTGACAGGGAATAACCCCAAAACAGCCCCTGCACACCCCAAACTGACAGGGAATAACCCCAAAACAGCCCCTGCACACCCCAAACTGACAGGGACACCCAAACTGACAGGGAACGGCCCCAAAACACCTCCAACACCACCCCAATCGCCCCAGGATGACCCTAAACCCCCCCAGGATGCCTCCAATCCCCTCCCAGTGCCCCCAGTGCCCCCCAGTCCCCCCCAGACCATTCCCAGTGCCCCCAGTGCCCCCAGTGCTCACCGTCTCCGTGTACTGGTAGGCGATGAATTTGCGCATGAGGGCGATGGCCGTGGCGCGCTCCTCGCCGATCTGGGGGAAACCAGCAGGGTTTGGGTAAAAATGGCAGGGTTTGGGTAAAACCAGCAGGGTTTGGGTAAAAACCAGCAGGGTTTGGGTAAAACCAGCAGGGTTTGGGTAAAAATGGCAGGGTTTGGGTAAAACCAGAATGATTTGGGTAAAAACCAGCAGGGTTTGGGTAAAAATGGCAGGGTTTGGGTAAAACCAGAATGATTTGGGTAAAACCAGCAGGGTTTGGGTAAAAATGGCAGGGTTTGGGTAAAACCAGCAGGGTTTGGGTAAAACCAGCAGGGTTTGGGTAAAAACCAGAATGATTTGGGTAAAACCAGAGGGTTTGGGTAAAACCAGCAGGGTTTGGGTAAAACCAGCAGGGTTTGGGTAAAACCAGCAGGGTTTGGGTAAAACCAGCAGGGTTTGGGTAAAACCAGCAGGGTTTGGGTAAAACCAGCAGGGTTTGGGTAAAAACCAGAATGATTTGGGTAAAACCAGCAGGGTTTGGGTAAAAACAGCAGGGTTTGGGTAAAAACCAGCAGGGTTTGGGTGAAACCAGCAGGGTTTGGGTAAAACCAGCAGGGTTTGGGTAAAACCAGAAGGGTTTGGGTAAAACCAGCAGGGTTTGGGTAAAAACCAGCAGGGTTTGGGTAAAACCAGCAGGGTTTGGGTAAAAATGGCAGGGTTTGGGTAAAACCAGAATGATTTGGGTAAAACCAGAATGATTTAGGTGAAACCAGCAGGGTTTGGGTAAAACCAGAATGATTTGGGTAAAAACCAGCAGGATTTGGGTAAAAACCAGCAGGGTTTGGGTAAAACCAGCAGGGTTTGGGTAAAACCAGCAGGGTTTGGGTAAAACCAGCAGGGTTTGGGTAAAACCAGCAGGGTTTGGGTAAAAACCAGCAGGGTTTGGGTAAAACCAGCAGGGTTTGGGTAAAAACCAGCAGGGTCTGGGCTTGAGGGGATTTTTGGGCACAAACCCCACAAGTTTGGGGCTCTGGGTCCCCCAGCACCCACCTTGCATTTGACAGTCCAGAGATTGGGGTCCCTGTGGGGGACAACAAAAATCCCTTATTTTGGGGTCTGCCCCAAATTCCCCTTTTGCCCCAGCCCAGTTCTGATTTCTGTTAATTCACCCCAAACCCCCCGTTTTCCCCCAGCCCCGTTCCCATTCCCGTTAATTTGCCCAAAACCCCCAGTTTTTGCCCCAGCTCAGCTCTAATTTCTGTTAATTTACCCCAAAATCCCCGTTTTTTGCCCCGGCTCTGTTCTGATTTCTGTTAATTTGCCCCAAATCCCCGTTTTTGCCCCAGCTCAGCTCTAATTTCTGTTAATTCACCCCGAACCCCCGTTTTTTGCCCCCCAGCCCCGTTCCCATTCCCGTTAATTTGCCCAAAACCCCCTGGTTTTGCCCCAGCCCCGTTCCCATTCCTGTTAATTTGCCCCAAACCCCCCATTTTTGCCCCAGCCCAGCTCCCATTTCTGTTAATTTGCCCCAAACCCCCCGTTTTTGCCCCAGC